TTCGTAATTCTTAATTATTAGGATAAAAAACGTAATTTCTCGTGCATGTATCGCAGCATTATACATTTGTCTCAAATGAGCAAGCCAATAGTACTTCAGATTCATATTCATCGCAACTGATATAAATTCGAATCTGAAATCTAAATAAAAATATGCGGATTAGGCTATGAAAAACAACAAAAATTGTGAGGTCTAGAATACTGTATCTGTGGTACACACGCATATACGGTAAAGAAAACTCTACACATCATTGGTTACATAAAGTTTTATTTAGTTTTAATATAACCCTATCGTTTGTTGCAGATTGCCTACACGTTCTGGTGGACGCTACTTCTGAAGCTTGTCGACTTGATCGAAACAGGCGTATTCGTGCTGAGGAAAAAGGACAGGCAGATTTCCTTTCTACACATATACCACCACATATCGACGGTGTTAATTGCTTGGACTATCGGAAGATATACTGCAGTGATAATGGCCTCTTTCACGATCGTGGTGAACTGCTTTATTCACGTGATCATGTACACCTATTACTACTTCAGCGCAATGGGAGACAAAGCGCCGAAAATTCTGAAGAAGTTAAAGCCACTACTCACGATAATGCAAATGGTAAACAGAAATCGTCGATCAACGTTTCTTAATATCTTTCGCTGATAGTACACCGACAAAAAGCCTTCCATACGCTGGCTCATAAAAGTGTTCGTAAAGCTTCTAAAACACAATAACTACTTTAAAACTGTACTAACTGACTTGAATTGTTTTTAGATGATAGAGAAATTAGTCTACAACACGATGACCAAAACGGTTTTCTCTTTTAGTTTTGCTATTACCTGGAATGACAAAAAACGCTCTGGTTTTTTTAACTTTTTTATCTGAGCGCGCGCGCCCGCGCGTGTAACGAAAGTTTAAAATATATCTTTCGTAGAACTTGGTGACCGATATGAATATATGTTGAAAATTTGATCGAAATTGGTTAACTCAGAATCAATCTACAGACGTTCAAGGATTTCAACGTAATAATAAAATTACCAGGATCCACAAGAGGCGCTTTTTAAATTTTCGTTATAGGCTCAAGTAAAGAAGTTAACAAACGAGGATTTTTAATTTTTTCTTTTCATTCGAAGTAATAGCAAAATTTAAAAAAAAAACATTTTACCATCATCTAATAGACTAACACATTCATCATCTAAAAAAAATTCAAATCATTTAGTGTAGTTTTGAAAGAATTA